TCTACTGTCAAGTTAACAGTGTAATTGTAATATATTTAGATTCAATTCCAGAGGACCAGCCTACACTTTATCTTTATGGGATCAAAATATAGCTAAAACAAAGAGGGGGTTTTTAAAGTAAAAGAAATAGCTTAAAAGACAAGTAACAAACGAAGGTTGTTTTCAAGAGGTTTAAAGGCGCTAGTCTAGGGTTTCCTAACGGGAAGGGAGTTCGCTAGCCGAGCTGCTATTCAAGTTCAATATTCACGAGTCCAAACTCGGATCACTCTGTTTGAATCAACCCACTGTCGTGGTGTTGATCGCCTTTGCAGAACTGCCTTGATACCTAAACTGTCGTTTGGAACAAGACAGGACAGCAAGCTTTAGAGATCAAGTCCGATAAGTTCACAGAACACCCTAATATCCACTCTCGCTGACTAGGGATGTTAAGCTCATTCAATTCGTATCAGATTATTAATCAACGGTTAGCTAAATCAATTAATCTTGGTTCATGCAACAAGTGATCAATTCGATGCAAGCATTAAGGTGAGAATATGAATGTAGACAATCTCAGGTTAACTTATCTAAGCTCAGCCAACGAAACCNAATAAAAGAAGAATATATAGTAAGCCATAGGCGGCAGAAGAGAAAAGAAGGGAAAACTAGGGCAAATCCCGAGATAGAGTCTTTATTTCCTAGATTGTCGCGGAACAGCTTGACAAACTGTTCTGATCGCAGGGGAACATCTTGCCAGACTGTTCGCTTCAAGAAAATCTTCAAAACAGATTCCTTTCTACTCTTTTCTCTCCACACGATCGTTCTCCTCATCTCTGGAACTCTTCAACCTGTAATGACTAAAAACAACTGGAAAGACTCGATAAAACCATTAAAACCATTAGTAGAGAATACCTATTCTATGTCAAAAACACAATATATCACTAGTCGCAACTAGTTCGCCCATGGGCGAACTAGGAGGTACTCGACTAGTTTGCCGATGGGCGAACTAGGAGATGCTCGACTAGTTCGCCCATCGGCGAACTAAGCCGGCCCGGCTTAGTTCGCCGATGGGCGAACTAGAGACTTCCTGGATATTCCGCGTCTCGATCTCCCGCATTTCCGATTCGAAACTTACGTCTTTCGACAAGGTCACGTTCTAAACAACGGCCGAAACATCTCCCGTTCCATCTCGATCCGACTTACCGTTCGAGTTTTACGATAAAAACCGTAAAACCTCACTTTCTCGGAAAGAACTCGAGGAAATCGTATAAAACGGAAACGGTTAAAGGAAACACCGAACATTGCCTAAACTATACGATTTATTCGAGATTTCTGGTTGAAATCATAAAAACGCGTTTTATGATTAAAAAACACCGAGTAAGTCGTAAAAACGCGTTTTTAATAAAAAGTCGAGTAAATCGTAAAACCTTGCGATTAACTCGAGTAATTTATTAAAAACGACGTCAGATCAGGAAACGATCCCGTAAAAAGTCGGAAAACGGATTTATCGCAAAACAGCCCGGGAGGACCTAAAACGCGATAAAAACCCATCTTGCGATTTTAACGGAATCTAACCCGAAGATTTGATAACGTTTTGACGGTTTACTCGCAGGAGGAAAATAAAAGTCAAACTTAAAGATAAAAGGAAGGTTTGAAGAAAAATAGAAGATTTCCGCGGAAGAAAAGGAAGGATCGAGAAAAATGGAAAGTTCCCGATTTAGTTAAATCTGGGCGAAATGGAAAGATCGGATAGCCAAGGCGAGGAGTATATAAATAGGAGGTCTAGGGCAGAAGCAAGAGACACGAAATTCAGAGCTCTCACCACCAAAACTAGCATTTAGGAATCTTTCCGTTTTTCTGTTAGCGAGCTGCGTCTCAATTAGGGTTTTTTGTTCTTAAGTTTTCGGCTACTCTCTTTGTACCAGTTCAACGCAGATTCGGAATAAGAACCTCTTTGCTCTCGATTTCCGTTTCTCTTTTAATAATTCTAAGTTTTCTCGTTATCTTAATCTTCGTTGTGCGGTTCTGCAGATAGCCGGTTCCTCTGGAAACTTAGGGTTTTCCCGAAGTTTCCTTATTTACGGTTATTTGACAGTAGATGGATTTCGACACCCACAATGATTGCTTTCGTGTCTTCCTCCTTGCGGATGAAGTTGTGTGAACGAGCAATGGCGTCGTGGAGCGTCGTGGAGGTGCTTCGGTATAGGTCGTCTCGGAACTTGGAGTCGAGATGGAGGGTGTTCATCAGAGCGTCGACGGCTATGTGGTCAGGGATGTCGATCTTTGAGACGATCGACTTGAAGCGCTCCATAAAGTCTCGGAGACTTTGGTCCTTGGTCTGCTTTAGGTTCCACAAGCTGGAGGCCGTCGCTTCACGCTTAGTGAACATGATGTAGGTTTTGAGGAAGGCCAACGAGAGTTCCCTGAAGCTGCTGATAGAGTTCTCCTTGAGGCCCGAGAACCAGGTCAAGGCTTGGTCGTGAAGTGTTTCCACGAACAGCTGACAGTAGGCGGCGTCCTTTTCATCGTCGAGTAGTCGTGCTCGGGCCATCGCGATGTCGAAAGCCGTCATATGTTCTACAGGATCGTCGCCGGGCTTGAATTGCGGAACACGCAGCTTCTCGATCTCGCGGAAGTTTACGCTAGTAAGCGTACTGGTAAATGGGGTACGCTCGGTTGAAGCGAGGATACTCTCGATCTGTGGAGCGGCGCTAGTAACCTTGTGAATCGTGGAGCTCATCTGTTGAAGGTTGAGTTTGAGCTCGGCGATTTCACGGATAGTCGTGAGATCTGGGCCGACTTGAGCTGTTTCTGCAGCGTGAGGCTCGGTGGGTTCCGACTCTTCCGAGGTGTGGTCGGCTACTGGCGTCGTAGGGTTAGTGTTGAAGAGATGACGTCGGAATGGTTGAGAGTTACTCGTCTGCCCGGCGGGAGCTGCTGTTAACGCTGCGACGAGTGCGGTGAGTTGCGCTTGTGTCTCCTTTTGGATCTCGTCTTGTCTGGCGAAACGCACCATGACAGAGCTCATGAAGTCGGGCGGAAGGGGTGTTTCGGATACGGGAGTCTGAGTCGGCTCCTCCCCGGCGGTTCCGGAGACGGTTCCGTCGTCTGGCATGTCTAGATCTGATAACGTTGCTTTGTTCAGAGCCCCACGGTGGGCGCCAAATTGTTTGAGGTGAAAATGGTTAAGAACAATATAAAGAGAGAGATTGGGGCGAACAAAGACGCTCTTTATTAGATCTAAACAAGAGGTTACAAGGAGGTGAGTAAAGAGGCGATCTAGCCGGAGCTCGGAGAGCAGACCGGAAGACTACAAAGTGGTGAGTATCGGTGAAGGTAAGCAAACCCTAGATCTAACCACCTAGTCTCTATGAAACCCTAGATCTAGCCGCCTAGTGAGTATGTTCAAGTGTCTCCCCTTTTCGTTGTTGCCTCTCTCCTTTTATAGACTTTATCTTCCTGTTCGCCCTAGTTTACCCGAGCCTTGTTGGGCTTTATTCTCGTTGGGCCCATTTAGTAGCCCGGGTAAAACGTGCTTCTGCTGACTCTTCCGGAGCGCTCTTAGTCGTGCTACTAGACGCGCCCCCATGCCGAGGCGTTTCTTACGCGTCTAATGGGCCGAGTACATCGTCACATCGGGCTAAGCTTCTCCATTTGATGGGCCTTGTGGAGGGGTGTAACCCATCTCCTACAATAAGTCCCCCCAGTTCATTTGTGAGTTCGTAGGACTCTAAGTGAATTTGTGGGTCAGGTTTGATCAAATGGGGAATCGCCCACTTTACCCGGGCTACTCACCTCCTTGTAACCTCTTGTTTAGATCTAATAAAGAGCGTCTTTGTTCTCAACAAGCTCCAATGGTTTCAAGAGAAGGGATGAAGCTTTCTCATGAAGCCAACCAAAGACTCAAGTCCGAGTGAAGCTTGATCCTTCTTGTGGGACTTTCATCGAGCACTTGGTGGGGTAGTGATAACATAAAGACAAATGTCGATATGGATGATTTGATGTGGTGTTTTGCTCGACGAACCGATGAGCTTAAAACCAGCTCGGAAAGGAGAATAATTTCGAGAAAGAAGCCCAAGCTGAGCCCAACAAATCTCAAGTCGCGAGTGCTGTTCCGTTCGTCCTCTCAGTCGTGAGTGCTGTTCCGTTTCAACCTGGTCCATCTCTTCCCTCCTTTTCTCGGCAACAACAAAGTTAAAAACTTTCTCGCTTAAGATCCACAACCACGAAGTGCGCTGACTCGGAGCTTCTCCACCATTAAGTTTCCAGTTGAACCGGATCTTCGAGCCCTCTATCTTCTCAGGAAGCAAGAAACCGATCTCTCCCCTGTCTGGAACCCAGAACGTATTACTGTTGCTGCACAGAACCGAAAGTCTCAGTTTTTGCCGGAGACTTGATCAGAAGTTGACGAGGAGGAAGACGATCCAATGGGAGCCGAGTCGGACAAGTTTATGTTCGAAATGTCTGGTCATATGAGCAACCACTCGATCTGCCTTGAGTAACAAATTCTCTCGCTGATTAACACTTAATTGGGAAGAATTGTTGTTGTTTCCTTCGATCAGTTCAAGGGGATGGATAAGAAAAAGAATGCTCGTATTGATAGGATTATCTGTTACTTCTTGTCTCTGTGGAGAAGTTTAAGTCTGAGGATGGTGTGATTACTATAGGGGATGTTTTCTATGCTGATATGGAGCAGCGATTCGTTCAAACATTCCTTGGGAAAAGTTTCGTTTTCATCTCAGCAGCAAGGGACATCTCGTCACAAGTTTTCCATCTCGGCACGAGCTTTCCGTCTCATCCTTTCACCGGAAAAGATTGCAACACAGCTCCCAAGCTTGATCTCGGCAGAGCTCACGAGCTTGATCTCGCCAAATGCTATCTACGGTGATCGAGAGAGTTCCCTGCATAATTTCATCAAGCTTTTACTTCTAAATCAAGAGAGCTCTCATGGCAAGCTTGCTACAACTAGTATGAGCTTCTCGTCAAACTTCCCATGAGACATCATCACAGCCCTTCTCGTCAAAATGCAAAGGAAGCGCAGCCTTTTATACTCCATCAGCACATGGCTCCATCGACTCGTATCTCTTATGCTCGGTAACTAAGCTTGAGTCCATCAAATCTTAGCAATCTTAACCGCACGAGTCAAGATAGGAGTTTACTCGCTTGTTTCTTCTTCACCACAAATATAAGTCCTCTCATAAAACCATCAAATGCTTTTAAGTTACACATGTGTCACAGTAGACATTATATATAACTGTGGTTTAAATTATTGAACAATGCTAAATAACTCATACTCGTAACACTTATGGGATGATGACTCATGTTATTGCTTTGTTGTTGGTAGCCTTATGATATTAATAAGTTGACAATAATTGTATCATCATGTGTGACTCACGAGCATTAAGCACAAACGTGTTCCATTACTTGCTTACTAATTATGCAAAAGATTATTTCTTTTTGGTTTATCTTGCTCTAATCATGATAATGTTTTCATGAGGCAGAGTTGTTATGATTTCTGAGCCAAAGAGGAAGAGATAATAAATGAGTGGTTGCCATCATCAACCGTGAGCTTGGCGGAAGCAGTACAAGCTACAAGCGGCACAAGCCAACATGTCTCTCGACATCATCATAGCCTGACGAACATACAAGCCAACAACTTGCTCGGCGTACAACGATCTCGACATGAGACTTCGGGTCGGCAAGTTCGGTAAACGTGTATACTAGACACGAATTTAAATTGAACTTGCTTTTTATTAGGCACGAGTTTGCAATCGACTCGCTTATTGTTAGACACGAGTTTACAAAAACCCATCCTTGGCTAGGCGCGAGTTTACATAATCTCTCCTTCTACTAGGCACGAGTTCAGTAAACTCGCCTTCGTCTCGGCATGAGTTTAGTAAGCTTATCTTTCATTAAGCATGAGTTTAAAGCAAACTCGCCTTTTACTAGGCACAAGTTCAAAGTAAACTCGCCTAAACCGTCACAGGCATGAATGTGTCTAGTTCATTGTCTAATAAACCCTATTCGTAAATTTCACAGAGATCGACGTCGTCTCTCTCTACGAACTTGGGGGGACTTACTGTTGGGGGTGGATTTCATCCTCCATTCAAGGCCCATTAGACAATGAATTAGGCTCATTTTGCTAGGAAGCCCTAGACTCCATCTTTCTATAAATAAAAAGCTACCTCCTTCTTGGAAAAGGACTCTCTTTCATTTTTAGACTTAGAACACTTTTATGATTTATGGATTCATTTTACATTTCAAATCATTTTGTAATGAATCTATGATCAATAAAAATCTATTTGATGTTCTATTTCCATTTGGTTTCTTTGTTGATTTCTTCTAAACCTCAAGGATTTAAGGATTCAATTCTTAAATCTTTTATTGTTATGATTCTACAAAAACAACATTTTTGGATTAAACAGTTACATTACAGTACATTATTAAAATCACAGAACACCTGTTTACTGGTAGCTAAAGAAACCTATAAACTCAGATTTATTTCCTCTTCTTTACTGTTGCAGTGTTGCTAGAATTCTATGCACCATGGTGTGGACACTGCCAAAAGCTTGTTCCAATCTTGGACGAAGTCGCTGAGTCTTACCAAAGCGACCCAAGTGTTGTCATTGCTAAGCTAGTAAGTCACTTTCCCCTTTTCATTACACTGAAAGCTTATTTCATTGAATCATCTTATTGGATACTTATTATTTTTCATTCGTTCAGGACGCAACTGCAAACGACTTCCCACGTGATACTTTCGATGTGAAGGGATTCCCAACCATCTACTTTAGATCAGCGAGCGGAAACGTTGTGGTGTACGAAGCAGACAGGACGAAGGAAGACTTCATAAGCTTCATCGACAAGAACAAGGACACAGCTGGAGAGACTAAGGCGGAGGAGAAGACAATTGAGTCCGCTAAGGACGAGCTCTGAAAAGGAGAAGTGTATTGTGTCTCTTAGCTGCTAAGCTTAGGATGGTAGTTTTGAGGAATTTACACACAGTTCTTTAGTGAATGTTTGTTTGTCTACTTGTTAGAGTTTATAATATGCAATCTTCTGAACAATAACGCATCTCTCTTTACTTTTTGAACTCTGTTCTCTTTTTTTATATATTATGGTTCATCCACATTTACAGAGATATCATTGCTCACTTGAATTGATGTGAATATGTTTCTTGTGAGGTACGTTAACCAATCGGTCTTAAACTTACCTCGGGAAAAAATGGATATTACTTTGTAACATTAGTGTTTGTTCCAAGCGAACTGTGATTAGGGATTTTGTTCGTTTGTTACACACATGAAAAAAACTTGATAACGTAGTGTTTTAATGTTCTATTCACCAAGTGGATTCCGTAAAAGCTAGTAACTTGATCAAATGCTAGAATTGAGGATCTATGAATCCTTTGAGTGAACTAGATACTTCCAAGATGGGTTACGAGGAAGAAGGTTTGATATCTCACATTAACACACATATTTGTGTGGAAAGTTGTTATACGTGTTACAAGATTTCTAAACCATCTCTACAAATCCAATGGAGATTAGCTATTCGTAGTGTTTATATATCATAGATCTCTTATTCTCCGCATTGAAAGTTTAGACAAATAATTTAATCTATGTTTCATATCGGAAATTTGATAAATAATACATAGTATACAATAAGAAATTCAAATCTGATTACTTCGAGTCACTTTGGGAATGAAATCAAAAGTAAATTCATAAAAGTCTACCTTTTAAATCTTAAATAAATAATATTATCGGACAATAAAGAGTTAAACATATTCTCTCAAAAGAATCCCAACAAGGTTTAGAATTTGGTCGATCATGCTGAGTTGGTTGGTGGTATTGGCTTGGAACTGGGCATACCCAGCCTTGCGTTTCTCTTGCTTACTTTGCAATATGCCCAATCTGTGTTGCAATAAGCCGCCATTTTCCTTTGGTATAGTGTCTTCCACATTTTGTGGACCAAGCTCATTAAATTAGACACCGTTGTGGGACTTTAAAGGCAATGAACGTTTGATCATCTCCAGATGAGCAATTGGTGATTAAATTATTTAAAATAATATTACCGTTTGAAAATATTGTCTTTGTGCGTTCGTTGCTATATAAGTTACAAAGTCCCCAAGTGCCATAATGAATTAAGTGTGGTGAATAAAATACACACATATATACGTATAAACTATAAACAGGCTTTTATAGTTCGTCAGGTCAGAACTGGATAAGTGTTTACTTGAAGTAGTTCCAACTATTAATTATACGTCATGTTCTTTAGTTCAAGACTTTGATATTCTTTAGTTCAAGACTTTGATATTTGAATCGCACATGTTGTCACTTAAGAATCATGGCTAACATTTAAATAGATATATTGACCACGCATTCATATCGGATTATGACTCGTAACATCTCAATTATCCAAAACATCTCAACCTTTTGTATATTTTAAATTCAGTACGCTTCTTATAGGCGCTATTTATTCGTGTCCATATATATGCAGACAAATGGGGCTCACATCCTGAATCCTGATCAAGGATATTTGTATTGGTCATCATAGGTGCGTGGTCCTGCTCCTGCTCCTCGTTTTGAATACGATCATCTATAGTAAATGGTCCCGTTTAACCCTATACAGCCAACGCTCTCGACAAAAATTTACGAAATTTATGCAAGAAAATATACTAACTTCATTCATAAATTTTTAAATATATATCAACATCCCCCATGTGCTAAAACTCGGAGTCTATGTCTTAAACGGTTGCAAGTCATCCTCATTGATCATAATCACCACAATTTCGATTCAGCATTCAAGAATTTATTTCTGATTTCCTCCTATTTTATCTTAGAGATTTGTTAACATTTTGGTGGACTCTTTGCATGATTTCTTAGAACTTATTTCAAGTTTCTATTTGAATAAACATGAGTTTTCCTCTAAAAACAAAGATATTCATGCGAAACATCCAGGCAATCTACTCGATAGTTTTTTCTTTTCTTTTAATAGTTTCATTAAAATATTAAAAAGTAAAAAGGGACGCATGAAAAAGTAGACAAAAGTACACAAAACAAACAAATGTCTAGTCATCGTTAGATTAACCTAAAAATTAGGTTTTCTCTCGCATCAATCTTACCACATTCATAAATTTCTTGTCTAGTTTCTTTGGAGGAGTCACATTGCTTTCCTACTTTTGCTTGAACTTAGAAAAACAAACTAAAGAAACTTTTTATTTTCTTTGAGTGGTCACCTCAACACTCAAAATAAAGGTCATCTATCAAAAGCAACACTGTCAAATGATTCTATACTGATTTCACATTTTAACCTACTTCTTTCTAATCAAAACAACTTGGTAAAACTTCTATGACATTATAATTCTCCACCATAAAACTATACTATACTATACTATACTATTATCACAATTTTTTTTGATTTAGGATTTGGAAATATACAATGTATATAAAAGGGACAACTACAAGACAATGTGAATGGGGGCAAGGCTTTGGGGTCCATATTTTGTGCTAGAATGTTTCCCACTATTGTGAACAACATAACATGGACTCTTCTTCTTGCATTACAACTTGTACTACTCTCCTTTATTTCTTGAATGAAAAAGGAAGTTAAGGTGATGAGCATTAAAAGTCATACAAGAATTCTGAGAATCCCATGCAAATTTATATATTCTAAAGCAACTCACTTTTGTTGTTTTCTTCTTCTCTCTTAAGCTTCCTTTTCCTTTTTTTTTTTCTTTTCTTCAATAACTTTCTCTTTTGTCATTTTGAAAGTAATGATAAAAGGCTATTTTGACCATTCTCCACATCTTTTAATGGCTTTATCAGATTCATACCACATGCCAAGAAAGAAGTATGGTCCAGAGCAAGCCTCTTGTCCCTATACATATATATTGCTTATGTAATTTACATATTTATATCATAAACTCTAGTTAATTCAATTTAAGCAAAAAAAAACTCTAGTTAATTCAATTATATACCATTTGAATGTTTCAATCAATTCGAATCCATGTAGTATCATTACTTACAACAACAAAAATAAACTTCCACATACTTCTTTAAACAGAAGCATCAATCATCGAAAAAACGACCAAACCAAAAACAAATAATAGAAAAATATTTTGTTTAGGTGTAATTTAATATGAAGCGTGAAAATAATCAACTTTTAGTTTTCTTGGACTTCCTTCTCGTTAAGGTCCTCACCATCCAGCCATGTTTCCTCACTTTGGTTCCTTCGACCTTGGATGATGATGCGACGTGGCAAGAAGAGGTGGACGAACCTGATCTGAGTTTAATGACGTGAAAAAGATGACCAATACGTTTGCGCCACTTAAGCGTTGACTTGGCACTGTTGTGCTCTACGATGCTCGTTATAGGGGATTGTTGTGTCTTACCTGGTGAGTTTGTGTTGTTGTCTACACAAACCTTTGACACTGTTTTCTTCTCCCACGATGCGTTTCCATCATTTTCGAATTTTATCGATATAAAAGAATCTGAAACCCCAAAAAACAAATTAAATCAATTGTAAATAATTATTAATTTTATAGAATAATTAAGTTTAATATATATTATACGTACGTAATTCTTGAGAAAAAAAAAATCTAACAAAAATATATGTGGTTTTACAAAAATATGCACAAAGTTACAAATAACGAAATATTAGTTTTTACGAAACTTCTACATATAATGTTCAAAAAGATTTGAGCAAAGAGATAGTATAATGTTCAAAAAACTTCGGAATATAAAAGTGTACAGGTGATATTAATATAAATTTCCAATATAAATATTGTGTGATAGATTGAAAATCAACTTTTTGGAAATTAAAAGAAAAAATTCCATTTACGAGCAGAGAAAAATGGAACGGCCCAATTGGAATGAGATCTTGTTCTTATTTTTTAGAAAAATTTGGAATTAGTGAGGTATGATGATTTTAGAGTTAATAATTACATTAGATATATAAGAAAATATATAAATCGTATGTAATATATACTAAGATCATATATATATATAAAGTTGTGTACCTTCTTGGCTTGTGGAAACGTCAAGATCGGAGGAGGGAAGGAATTTCCGGTGGTGACGGAGATCGAGGCGACTGAGAAGAGAGCTCAAGGCAAAGATCTTAGGGAGACTACTAATGATTGGTGAAGATGACAAGTGTTTAGTTCTCGATGATCTCTGTTTTGAAGCTAAAACAAGAAGCCTCTCGTTCAAACAGAAGGGACAAACTCCAACATAATTTGCCTTTGGATGGAAGTAACAATATGGTGAAGGTGAGCTATTATCTTTGTGCATATCCATCTCACTACCAAAGAGAGAGAGAAAAGAGACAGAGAGTGGGAGATAAGATTCCTAACAAATGAGATGGACTTATGTCTGAAATTGAAGCTTTAATATATATATATATATATATATATATATATATATATATATATATATATCTATTTTACAATATTTCAATTAGTAGATTTTGCGGACATCATTATTTTCAGATACTGACATAATCTAGAAATCTGATAGTATAATATACCGTAGACTTAAAGAATTTATAATATACTTTTGAGGCTAAGTATATTGATCACGTATCTGTTAATAAAGAATAGATCTCGATCTTAGTTCTTATTGGTCTTCGAAACACGAGTTTAGTCGGGTTTTCACATTCTTGTCTACCAGTTATATTATAGGAACGTTGCTTTAATTAATATTTTCAATTCAGAGATATTGTATATAACTTTTACTAATTAGATTAAGAATGTTCTGATCTTCTCACCAGATATACTTGAAGAAGGATGAATAGTCGCTTGTGGAGTATTACTTTAAATTTAATTAATCATTAAAACTCACAAATCACAGTGAACAGAAAATCTAGATTGTTATTTTTTTTTTAGTTAAGAAAAATCCAATAATGTTTCGGACGTATTGTCCGAGAAACATCCAGTTATTGTA